ATTAAATGTAAAAACTTGTAAGAGCATTAATTTTCTGAAACATTTGAAATTAAATAAATATAAAAAACATTTTTACGAAGATTATTTTTCGAAATTCCCAAAAATTTTCTTAATAATTAAAAAATAATAAAAAAAAAAAGAAAAAATGGAAACATTTATCACATTGCACTACCTAAATCGAATCCATCGAATTTCTAAAGAATCCATTTTCAAAAGCAATGGTACTTTAATTTCAAGTTAAAAAACAAGTTCAACAATATCGTTCATCCATCTTTAACTTGATTATGGAATTGTAACTGACTTATAAGTATCACTTATTTTTCATTGTTTCATAATTATTTGTTTATTATTTTCAAGTCAAATGTTGTTAAACATATTAAATAGTAATAATTTATATGATTTTTAATGTTCATTTTAAAAGTTTAAATCACGTGAAAAAGTTTATGCAAATATTCAAGCAAAATTTCACCAGATATATAATATATATAAAAAACTTCAAACTTATAATCCAAATAAGAAAACTTGTAATATCAATTGATTATCATGAACATAATTTATATCAGCACTTAAATATTTTTTTACTCACATTTTTTCCTTCAATATGAAATAAGATTCAACAGAATTATCCCTGTATCAAAAAAAAAATATTCTCAAACTTTAGGCAAAGTATCATAAATTTTAATAATTATTAAATTAATCATAAAAAGTCCGATTAATGATTATAATTTTTTTTTTTATTGATACATATAAAAAGTGTTTCAGTAGATAAATCAAAAATGTTTTCTTCTCACAAAATATTTTTTGTATTAACCATCATGAAAGTTACAGTTATATCAAACAAAAAATTTATATTTTTAAATATTTGGTTTGTAAGTAAAATTATATTAAAAAAATTTAAAGCATATAAAATAAAGGAATTTTAAAAATTATTTTTTTATATTATAATAAAATAAAATATTCGTAATATAAAAATATGATGATTTTATTTATTATTATAAACCTTTAAATAAATATAATAGAAGAATATATGCCATAGATAATTTGTGCATTAATAAATAACCTACAAAGGATGGTGATACATAAAGCAAAAAGAAATATTTCAGAAGAAAATGAAACGAAAACTCTTTTTTTTAAAGATACCGAATGGTGTTGAAATAAAAAATATGTAACTCCTTTACACATTATAGATATTATTGTACTTTATAGTCTTCTAGAAACGAACGAGTATAGCTACAAGCAAAACGCTTGCAGAAATAAGCACTTTTTCATAACATATAGATATAATTTTATATGGTTATATGACATATACATGCATCGAATAATAAAACATAAACATATAGTTTAAATTTTTTTAAACCTGGTTGATTTATAAATGTATTATGATGTTGTCATGTGTTATGTAGTTTGTCTCCAAGTTAATGGTCAAAGTAGTTTTCACAATCATGTTTTTTCTTACATAAATACACATGAATATAAATCAGTGGTTCCCAACCTGTAGTTTGCGGACCCCCGGTGATCTGCGAACCATACCTACAAGATTTAAAAATATTTCATTTTTCCTTTAGGGCGTGATACAAATATTATGTACTGACAATCGTCATTAGAGTCGTTCCGAGCCATTTTTTATCCTGAGGCAGAACTGAAGCAATGCGCCCCCTAGGTTGTATGGTTGTCACACTCACAGCTTTTAATATGTATAATAACGATTCGGAAAAATCTGAAAAATTGTTATTAGGTTTCTAGCAAAACAAGAAATAACATTTTTAACCACAAGTATATAATTATTGATTATCATATTCTTATATTATGATAAACAAATTAATTTGATACTTGCAAATTATTAGATGTTATAAAATAATATTTAATAATAATAGAAATATAACAAAATAATTTAAAACAATTATTGTTTATAATTTAATTTTTCATGCTTTTGTGACATCAAATATAATGTAGATATTAAGCAGATACCGACCGATCGTCAATTAAACGAAAAATAGTCATAAAAATAATAATAATAATAAACACGGAAAATAATTCAATAATTGTAAAGTAATAAACGAGTAATCAATGAAGAAATGCATTTTATATTGAAAATATCGTATTACGTTTACTGGTGCTTAGTAATGCAAAATATTTAAATATTATACTGTCAATTATACAGTACTATACAATAATTAATACTTCTTCTTAAGTTGATTATTTAATATTTTTGCGCCCTCCCCCCACCAGCATCAGGTGCCCAAGGCAAGTGCCTCGCTCGCCTCACTCTAGTTACGGCTATGATCGTCATCATCGATTTCGAGGAGCGGCGTTTTATTTATAAATTTATATTACATAATGTCACTTGTATTATTATTTCAACCAATAATCTAATCTTTTTTGTACAGCAAAATTAGATTAATAGTAGAATACAATAGACTAAATTCAAAGTTTAATATTATCAATGCATTTTTATTAATAATGGCTCCGTATCCATACTCCGAGTCAACGTCTGTGCTCTTTTTGATTGTTCATAAGTTCATATTAAATAAAATGGCTCCAAAAAGAAAATATGACGCCATGGCGCGCCACCTATATCAAATTTAGATTTATTGCAATCGAAACTAACCATGAAACCCGACCACAATGTGTTATATGTGGCACCGTTCTTAGTAACAATTCGTTGAAACCCACTAAGTTAGAACGGCATTTAAAAACTGTTTATCCTAAATTAAGTAATCAACCACCAGTATTTTTCATAAATAAGTCAGAGAATTTGAAAAAAATGAAACTCGGAATAAGTAGCTCAAGATTTGAGTTATCTGAAAAAGTGCTATCTGCATCTTTTAATTGAAAAATAAAAAAATCCACACATTATCGGTGAAAAATTATTATAACCTTGTTTATTAAATGTTGTTGAAAAAGTTTTAGGTGAGAAAGCTAAAAATAAAATAGAAAAATTTTCATAATCAAATAACATCGTGAAAGCTCTCATTGATAAAATTATAAAACAATTATTGGTAAAAGTAAAAAACTCGCCTTTTTACGCATTACAGTGTGATGAAAGTACTAACGTTTCATAATGTTGTCAGTTACTGGTTTTTATTAGATTTTTAGACGAAGACAACTCAATAAGAGAAGAGCTGTTATTACTGCAATAATTGGGCACTACATTAAAAGGAAGTAATGTAATGAAAATAATAAATTATTATTTTGAAAATGTAGGAAAAGCTTGCAGGTTTTTGTACGAATGGAACTCTAGCTCTAGGACCACATTCGAGCCTAGCAACGTTAGTTAAAGAAAAAACCGTTCAGTATTGACAACGCATTGTATAATTCATCGACAAGCATTAGCTTCAAAAATATTACTTGAAAAACTCATGTATACTTTAAAACAGTAAAAATGGTGAACGCTATCAAAAATAGTGGACTAAATATTCGCATTTTTAAAATAATATGCTCGGATTCAGTGTTGTGCTTAGATAATTTTTTTGTATCTAGATATAAATAAGATATATGAACTCAAAATATATCTAGATAGAGATAGATAATGATAAATTAAAATATATCTAGATATAGATATAGATAAAATCAATTTTATCTAGATGAAAATGAGATGATTTTTTATAAATGTTATTCTTAAATTTTATTTTTTATAATAGGTTTGTAGAAAATATTAATAAAATTATGAGTTATGACTATATAATTTTAGTTTAAATTACTAATAACTATTTGTAAAATCTGATGAATAATTAAAATGATCATTCCAACAACAATATGTTAATGTCAATACTTACTACATTTTCTGAAAAGGAAGACTAGTTGTGGATATAGATGCCAGGCAGAATACATTGTATAAGCTATAAAGGTATATAATTATTATTTATTAAACTATTATGTTGAATTATACATATACATTTATTTATGATACATATCAAATAGATTTCAAACTAAAAAGAAAAAAACAATACTATACATAAATTTGTTAACATTTGAAAATAAAATAATCATAAGTAAAAACAATTTTGATATTTAATATAATAACATAAATATTTACCTTTAGTCTGTTTAAAATAAATATATCTAAAATACATTAATAATTATAAAGAAAAAAAATTACCAGTTTAAAATACAATTTTTTATTTTTTATGAACCTATTGCATGATTCTACAACACAATAATTTTTCAAATGTTTTATCACCAAGGCGATCACGCCTTGAAGTTAAAACTTGTACTGCACCACTAAACAGTCTCTCAAAAGGTGCAGATCAAGGAAGAGTTGTGTTGTACTAAATAAATACTTTTTTAATTACTGGATAATTATTCAACATATCTAATTCTTTTTTTTTTTTTAATTCAAAAATTTTATTGCCTGTACTTGTACATTTGATTCATTTTCTTGACAGTTATGAATAAAGTCATTAGTCAATTATGATGGTATGATACTTTTTCCATAGACAATGAATAATAATAAATGAAATATTAATAACTTGCAGTGGTTAATTAATAAAGGTTGTTGTCGAATGTGGAGTGGAGCTGGTGGTTTATTTTTATTATTAGTTTTTGGTATTTTTAAACTATTATAATACCGATTAATACCAATATTCCCAGTACTATCGTCTATCAGGTTATTCTTACTTAGACCTTCGACTTGAATTATTTAATATCATTATATAAAGCTTATCTATTGTCGACGATTAACAATACAATTAATATTATTAATTTCTTAAAATTGGTGCACATTAGCGACAAATGACAATAATAATACTAGGTACCTAAATATATATGTATAATTCAAAAATTCATTATATAATATCGGAAAATATGATGTTCGTATATTTTTCAGACTACGTTTCGTGAACAATCTAAATAAATTAAGATAGATGACGAAGTTTTCTATCTTAGATCACAAGTAGATAACAATTGTATAATTTATCTAGATAAGATAAAAGATACGATTGTTTTATCTAGATAGGTATCTAGATAAATTTATCTAACTAAATTTAACTATTGCACAACACTGCTCGGATTTGAATACTGAATGTGAAACTTTATTTTTTCATACCGAAGTCCAATGGCTTTCAAAAGGAAATATGGTAGCATGGTTATTTTCACTTAAGGAGGAGGTGAAAGTGTTTTTAACTGAGAAAAAAATTATCGATTTATCGAAATGTATTTGTGATTATAAGTATGAAATACACTTGGCTTATCTTTGAACATTTACACAAGCATAATTATAATTACAAGGCTCCTAAAATCATAAATTAGAAAGCGCTGCTAATATATTTATTTTGTAAAATTAATTTGAGGATAGTAAAGTTAAAATCAATAACTACTCAACGTTTCAAATACTGAAAAGCTTGGTCGACAACGATAAATATGCTGACTCCCAGCTGAAATCCAGAAAAATTGGTTTTACACCATCTGCATAAACTTAAAGATGAATTTAGCCGGTATTTCCCAGATGGATATGAAACGAAAGGTGTCCGAACTATGATTTGAAATCCTTTTGTTGTTAAAGTTGACGAGGTGCTTGATGATATTCAGGAAGATTTGATAGAGTAACAAAATGATCGAAACTGAAAGGATATGTTTGAATCTTCCATGAATATCGAAGAGTTATGGTATAAAAAAGGAATTGCGTATTCTTAGCATCGAGAAATCGCATTTAAATATCTAGTCTTGTTTTCAACAACTTATTTGTGCAAACAAGGATTTTCCGCACTGCTTAACATTAAAAATAAACAAAGAAATCGGTTGATCGCCACTTAAGACATGCGTGTAGCTTTGAGCAATATTATCCCAAGAATATCTTTGTTAAAAAAAAAAAATAGAAGCTCAAAAATCAAAATGTTCCGTACAATATAATTTCTATAGTTTTGGCTCGTGAAGTGGTTTTCCTTAGTTTACAAATTTTACCAAAAACTGATACTGTTAATCTAATATAAAAAATTTGTGAATTTAAATGTTCCCAAATTAAATGACCAACAAAAAAATGTGTACGATACCATCATGCAAGCAGTACAAAATGAAGCCGGTAGATTGTACTTTCTGGATGCGCCCGGTGGTACGGGTAAAACATTTGTAATATCACTCATTTTGGCAAACATTCGAGTGCAAGGGAAAATTGCATTGGCACTTGCTTCGTCTGGAATAGCTACTACTCTGTTGGATGGAGGACGAACAGCCCACTCTGCATTAAAATTACCATTAAATGTGCAGGTTTGTTTATATTCATTGATCGATTGGCTTGAAATGCATTTGCATTAATTGAGATGTAATTATTTTTAATGATTTACAGGTGATTGAGAATCCCACGTGCAATATATCAAGAAATTCTGCGATGGCGAAAGTTTTGCAGCAAACTGCAATTATTTTATTGGATGAATGTACAATGACGCACAAAAAATCACTTGAAGCAATACACCACACAATGCAAGATCTGCGTGGCAATCAAAACATTTTTGATGGTGCATTGATATTATTGTCAGGTGATTTTAGGCAAACATTTCCCGTAATTCCACGCTCAACACCAGCAGATGAGATAAATGCGTGCCTAAAGTCTTCTTTCATGTGGAGATATGTGAGAAAATTGACGCTAAACATAAACATGCGTGTTCAGTTGCAGAATGATCAATCTGCAGATCGGTTTTCGAAGCAATTGTTGGAAACCGGAAATAGCAAAGTTCAAATCGATAACACAAATGGTTTAATTAGTTTGCCAAACAATTTTTGTACAATTTTCCAATCAAAAGAAGAATTGATTGAACGAGTATTTCCAAATATTATCCAGAATCACAGGAATCACAATTGGTTGAGTGAACGCGCAATTCTGGCACCAAAAAATGTGCAAGTCAATGATATCAATTATCTCATCCTAGAAAAATTGCCTGGTGCAGTAATATCATACAAATCTATTGATATCGCATTGAATGAAGATGATGCAGTCAACTATCCAGTTGAATTTTTGAATTCGTTAGAACCACCCGGTATACCGCCGCATTTCTTGAATTTGAAGGTCGGCTCATCAATTATTTTACTACGGAATTTTAATGCACCAAAACTGTGTAACGGTACAAGATTAGCTGTAAAAATATTGATGCCGAATTTAATCGAAGCCACAATATTGACTGGCAAAGCGAAGGGGGAATTTGTACTCATCCCACGTATTCCTCTGATACCAACAGACATGCCATTTGAATTCAAATGGTTGCAATTCCCCGTGCGCCTATCATTCGCTATGTCCATCAATAAGGCACAAGGACAAACGCTCCAAGTATGCGGTTTGGATTTGGAGGAGCCGTGTTTTTCGCACGGGCAATTATATGTGGTCTGTTCAAGAGTTGACACTCCAAATTGTTTATTTGTGTATGCCCCAAATGAACAAACAAAGAATATTGTTTACACGAATGTGTTGGATTAATAATAAAGAATTTAGAAAAAATAAATGATTTTAATTGCATTTTTGTGTTGGTGCTGCGAAGCGCACAGGAGACGGCTATTAGTTATTATAAAACTAATTTTAACTGTACAACCTACGTGCTATTATTTTCGTTTGAAAATTTACGTCGTTTATAGTATTATATTCGTTTGTTGCTAGGGGATCGAAAAAAGAAAGAAGGTAAATAATAAACATCTGATTTAAGAATTGCATTTAGAGAAAGCAATAACTGTACACGGGCGAATTCTATATATAGGCTACGAAGTGCACGGGTTCAGCTAGTTTAAATTAAAAAGAATAAAAATGAAATTGTTATTTGTGGTTGATACTCTTAAAATAATAACAAAGTAGGTACCTATTATTAATTAAAAACAATCCTAAATCTATTAGTACATTTCAAACAATAATACCCATACGCTTTTATTTTTATTTATATGGATATTGGGGAAAATATAAGATATAATTTTAATACATTACTTATATATTTAATTATATACTTTGTTTTTAAAATTATAGATTGCATATTAATTTGGAGATATAATGTGTAAGCTTCCCCGTAAACTTACTCTAATGCGAACAATATTATCATTTTTGTGACAAAAAATTTGTGTATATACTAATGTAGTAATTTTGATTTGAAAAATCGAACCTTTTTTTACGTTCTTTATGCCAATCTTCACACTCGTGTTGCCTTTTGGTACTCTTTTCTAAGGAAATGATGTCTTCTTTTGCTTCTTTTGTAAGCTTCAGGCTATTTAGATACAAGTTTTTTCTGTTATTTAATTCCGATGTCGATAAATCTGGATGTAAAACGAAGTCAGGTCAACAGCACCATAGTTCTCATCGGGACCAGCAAGTTTTTTGATTTTAAACGTTGAACTGGTGTAGCAAATAACTGACGTCTCCGTCTTGAATCCGATAATTGCTGACTTCTTTTTATGTACCTGCCATGAAAATACATATAGTATTTAAATTAAATTATAACTATTTTTTTCACCTTTTTGTAAATACACCAGGACTCTTTTTGACGACTTTTTTGTGGAATAACGAAAAGCGATTTGCTCCTGCATTATATGCAGTAACTGCAGCATTACATCGTAATTCATATGAACCTCGAAGACACAAATTTACCCTTTTACCCCCAACAAATTTGGCCAAAATAGAGTTATAATTTTCTGCTGCATTGTTGTTTAAATTAAACATCAGACTTTCTGTATGATATGTTAAAGCGCTTCTTATAGAACCTATATCATCCCATAGGCCTACTCGTTTCATATCAATCACATGATTTTCTTCACCTATAAATATAACAATATATGTACTATGAAAATGATACCTGTATTATAAGTTACGTACATTCTATCCGATCTTTATGTTTTAAAATTAAATGTGATTATTTTTTTAAAATAAACCAAATTAGTAGTATTTCACATAGATATATTAATATATATTTTTATAAATATATTATTTTGGTAATTGGTATAATTACCAAAAATATGTATAGGTACATTTTTTTAATTACCATCGGCAAAGTTTTAAAATGTCAATATACAATTTTTATATCTTATAGGTTTACGTTATTAATACTATTCATTTTTTTTCTATATAAAAGTAGGTATTTTTTAAATTATTTTACTCTTTTTATTATGAATTTATATTATGCATGATAATTGACCTACCTAAATTTTTTCTTTTGCAAAAGTAATTACTGCAATTCTCATGATCGTCGAATACATGTTTAGGGCTATTTACAATATCTTTCTTCAACATTTTAATAGAATCTTCGTAGGAAATATTGTTTTGTTGTTTTCTGTACTTTATAGCCTTTATAATTGCCGCATGAAGTCGTTCGATACGATTGACCAATAAACTACGCATACATCCCGGTACATTTTCACCTTTACTACTTTTTTTTTTTTGAAAGCTCATGAAGTTTATTAATATAATTCCTCAAAATATGGTTGGAACATTCTATTTTTTTAATAATGACGTCAGGACCATAAGGTTTCGCCAAACGTAAACGTTTAATGACATTGCTATCGCCATCACCTATATTATAAATATAATTACAAAAATAAATTGAAATATAATACAATTTATAATTATAAGGGTAAGTTGTTACTTGTTACGTGTCAATTTGTCATATTTTTTTCGTAACAACTAGCCCCAAACTTTCCTACTAACCAATTAATAACTGTATTTTATTTTTGAATAATTATGTACTCGTATATTAGACACAAAATATATATACGATATAATATACATAATTATTCAAAAATAAAGCACTAGGCTTACCAATCATCCGATTGTATATTAAATTATGCATGTCTAAACTATTTTTAATACCATCCACTATAATGTCTGCTTCCATTGCAGTTGAAGGTGCATTCCAATTTTTAATGCAGAAATGATCTTTACTTTCTAAATCTAATTTTAAAAACCGATGACAAATACAACAATATTTGTTCCTTATGCCTATAAATAAAATTTTTTTCGTTCTCTGACCAACCATACAAGCCTAAAATTAGACAGTTTTTATCAAGGCTTGAAACCGGTACTTGATACCGTTTTTGAATACTGTTTAAAACCGTTAAAAACAAAATCGATACCAAAAACGAAGAAAATCAATAACGGTATTCAAAACCGGAATCTAAAGCGAAAAATATGAATAACGGTATTCAAAACCGAAATCGAAATTGGAAAAAAATATTTACCGTTATTCACAACCAAAATCAAAACGGGAAAAAATAAATACCGGTAACTGAAACCGAAATCGAAATCAGAAAAAAAAATGTCGGTTTCAAGCCCTAGTTTTTATACTCTTTATAGGTATTAAAATGTCCATAAAATTTAATAAAATTACAATCAAGACTATATTTTCTATTATCTTGTATTCCATTTGTAAACCTTAATTATTAAACCTAAAAGTTTAATTAATTTGAACTATACGATGATGCATTTGAATACGTTTTGTCGAGTATAAAAATTTTAAATCTATGAGAACATGAACAATTGAAATATCTATACGTAGTACAGAAAACGTGTAAATGCTTTCAAAGTTATACCATCTTAATAGAATATTTATATAAACATTCAATACTATTTTAATATCTCAAAGATAATTGTTTTCCAAGTTTCGATAAAAATTTAAAAAATTATTCGATTTTAACGAAACCTGGTATCTCGTAAATGTTTTTTTTTTTATAATTTTTCGTTAGTTTTCCTTAAATATTTGGAAAATTAAAAACTTACATTCTAAATGTTTCAATCAAACAAAATGTCTTGTCAGTAAAACAAAAAATTAAGAATGTATTAAGTACATAGTATTTTAAAGACGTATAATAGTAATTTTAAAAACATTATATGCTTGCATATGTCATACATTTAGGTAAATCGAATCTACAATTATTTAAATAATGATTACTTACTTTTCACCTTTTCACTCATACTACTATCATATCCGGATGGACCTGCTCCTGATGTCGCTACTTCAATATTAGTTTCAATATAATTATTTGGCGTGATTATTTCAGGAAAATTCATATTAGAACCAGTTTCTATGTTCTGAAAGATAAAATTTATTTTATTAAAAATTGATAATTAATAGAATTCAAAAAATTAAAATAAGTATTTAATAATAAATTGTATATTACTTGACTGTCGTTGTCATTTTTTTTGCGTTTTTTAGAAGTCAAGTTAGCTAAATTATGTTTTGGTTTTTTTTTTGGAACAAATAACTTGCGCCGTGATTTTATTCCAAAATGCCAATCTTTTCCCATTTTTAAAAAAATACTTTACACTGTTTAAATTTAAACTATTTTATGTATAACCACAACTGTTTACTAAACTGAACACCAAAAATCAAAATATTATAAAAGTGCACAATATAGCAAATGAACGAGTCGCGGTAAATTTTTCTGTATCCGTTTCCGATTCCACAATCGTTCAGTCGGGCACCGGCTAATGACGATCATTATCACGATAACGAATATGAATTCGATAACCGATCAACTTTAATAATTCTCAGAACAACCGCTGCGCATGCACAAGTCACTGAATTTAGGTATTGAATTTTTTTCGTTTTCAAAATCAATACGTCAGAGTTAAAAGAGAAAGATTTATTTAGTTACTTCTAGTGACCCGATTTACATTTTGAAAATAGATGTATATTCGTTAACCTTTTTGCTAGATTATGTAGGAAAAATAATTGAGATTTTAGAACGGTTTGCATATAAATAACATAAAAATAATTGTATGGGTTTTAAGAAGTGAACAGTGTTTTTTAAGCCTCATTGAATAAAAAAATTAAAAATGTTTCTCCTACATAACCTAGAAAAAGGAATGATGAATTCATACATATATTCAAAATTGAAATTGGACATCGGGAAGTACTAAAACTAATCTTTCTCTTATTGGTCTAAAGGCATATAAAATACAGCATGCTCCAACAGCCTTAACTTATTTTTATAATTAAAATTTACCTTTGATAAAAATAATAAAGTTATATGCATATTTTTATAATTGTAATTTGTGTTAAATTGTTAAAAAATTTAAAATGTTTACCTAAACCCGAACAATAATAAAGATTATTATATGCCAGTTTTAAAGAATTGCATTGTATTTTATTTATTCGCAATCTTAATTCTAATTTTTTTGAAAAAAATGATTTTTGTTTATGAGAAAAAATAAGGTCTAAAAATTATGGTTATCCGTGACGTATTACAAGTTCTGTAAGTGGTCCGTAGTGTCAAAAAGTTCGGGAACCACTGATATAAATTAACGAAATTAATTAATTATTAACTTCGTACTTCAACGGTGTAGTTATGACGAGTTTACCGACGATAATACAAGACTATGACGTACCGTTTACAAAAATGTTTTTGTATAGCCGTGTTAAAAGTTGATTTCTTCATACTTTAAACTGAGGAATATTTAAAATAACTTTTTATGAATCATCATATTCAATCAGTGATTCCCAAAGTTATTCATCCACGGATCCTTTTTTTAACCAGTATTTTCTCGTAAATATTAAGTTTTATTTAGCTGTGAAGTATATTACTCATAATATGTATCTATATAGGGAAAAACTATTAACAAAATAATGAACGAGTATATTTAATATTGTATATATTTATAATATACCTACCTGGCCGGATAATAACCGGAATGAGAATGCGTAATATTTCAAATTATTCTCTTATCGAAATTTTAATAGTTTTTGTTTTTGTATTTAAGTTAACCGAGACTTATAAAAATATATATATATATATATATATATTCGTTGCTTAAATAAAGATCAGTAATTATTATATTAATGAATTTTTTATTCTAGAACGAACGGAGCTCTCGAGGAGTAATTGAGGAGCCCTAAGGGCTCCGTAGAGTACAGTTTGGGATCTGCTGTATTAGATCATTAGACAGTACTATGTATAAATTACGTAACATACAAAGTTTATTTTCCAAACCAATTATGATAATAATATTGTTCACTTCACCCCTCGACAAGAGTGATTGAAAATTAATTATACACGAAGTGGTAGACTAAACATACTCATTAGACAGTGGTAGGTTGGTTTGTAGAAATTAAATAATTGAATTAGCTATAATACGTGTTCAAAAATTATATTTTATACTTATCCTTGTTAAATTTTATGATTAAATGGATCATTTAAATATACAGCTCAAGAGTGCAGTCAACCGTCAGAAAATTGTATACAGTGGCATGGCAAAAGTATTATTTTGCATCAATTGCTCCTTAAAAAATGTTGATAGTTTGTTGGCCACCTCTGCTACAACACACCTAAATGATTAAGTATCAATGAAAAAAGAACCATATTTACAAAAATTGCAATCAGAGGAAATATAAAATTGTCCACCCACCCCTTAAAAAAAATTAATTATCGATTGTATATAATCATTTTTTTTATTTTCTATACATTACTTGAGTAAATATCTTGAGACTGATATTGGTTTTATGCTCAAACCACAAGGCATATAAACAACATTAATTTTTTAACAATTCCAGAAAAACTGTAAATTATAATAATTTAAAGTAAAACTATGAAATCATCACTTTTTTATGTATTCTACAAAACATTAAACATTAAATTTTAAATTTGGGTAGTAAAAATTATTATAAATATAATTAGTTATTTTAGAAACTAACACAGTATTTTAAGTGGTTCATTGTAAAAACATTTTAGTACTCTTAAATAGTAGTTGATAGTTGACACATTTAATAAATAACAGGCGTAGTATTTAGTTCAAAAAATGTATTTACAAAAGTTTTTTGAGGAAGTTCAATAAAGATGGTAAAAAACATAAAAAAATCATAAATATTTGAAAAAACTATTAGTGGAAGTTAAACCATTAAAACCACTTTAAATAATTTATAAATAAATACATTGTTTTAAATTTGATTTGATTTTTATGTATTAAATAGTTACATTATTATAAATTATAACTCAATAAATTTTAGTTATTTTGCTAAATCATCACAATTAATGTAAGTGGTACTAATTTTGAAATTTTGAAATTCATTGAAAACAGTATCAGGTTCAATAGATTTATCAATAAGTTTCTTACGTTTTCTTTTTTTGTATTCATCATCAGAAACTATGTTATCATTGTTAAAAAGCTTTTGCCAACTTTTCATAATCATTAAACATTAATCGTAAAATTTGAATATATTTAATAAACGAATCATACAAACTAACTACTCTGCTTATATCAATATCAACAGACTGTAATAAAAGACTAATTTTGTTAAATGTAATTAAAATATCCCTTTAAAATGCAACTATGTATGATGTTTCTATTTTATTAATTTGTTGAATTAAACCTCTGTTTTCATACCGTACAAATGATTTTTCATAATCATAATTTATAAGCTCTTTTAATATTTTTTTCCAACTTTTTTTTTATTTTTAAACAGTGACAAGCATCTTCTGTTTCTGACTATCATGCGTTGGATAACATTTTTATGGTTGACATACAACACAGACTTAATTCGTTTATGTTCTTGGTGTGCGGAGATAAAAATATAAATATATTTTGAATAAAACAAAAAATAATTTGTTTCCATAGGCGTACGTAGACCTGTATTTCAGGAGTTGCCTATAATACTTTTGGACCCTATTTGAAATAAATAATACATTGTAATGTAAAAATAATTAAATAAACATAACTTAAATTTTTTATTTAATATTGTGGTATATTAGTCCCAATGAACATGTTTTCTTTGACTCTCGTATATTTTTTTTGCTACCTTCGATTATTTATGTATTGTACTTATGTAGTCAATTGCAGCCATTATAACAAGATTTTGCACGAACATTTAGAACATTTTGTTTTATTTTTTTTCTATTACGGAACATCATTATGTCATTTTTACAAAATATTTTAAAATAAATTACATTTGATTTGAGCAATATCATTTGAAATAAGGGCCCCTTACTCTTAGTCATAAATTGTAGGATCCTATAAAAACATTTTGGGAATGACGGACACACCCGGCATTCTCTCTGTGCTCGCTTATGTTTGCTTATTTACAGAAATTTGAACAACACGATCCGATTATATTTGTAAAACTATAATATAAATGTATATTTTCTATTTTTAATATGTATTTCCCATATTTATACGAAATGTTTACAAAATCAATACTCCCAAAGTATTTTATTGACATTCGCTTGATAACGAATAAAAACTTCTCTCTGAGCCTTCCCTTAAATACAGGCTTGAATGTACAACACTACTTTTAATACATAAAAACAATAACAAATAAACAAAAAAACATATATTTTAAACAGTACCTATAACATTTTATTATATGAGGTATGAGTACAATATTATTTCAAAATGTTTACAATTACATTATTTGATGCATTAATATTAAGATATCAAACTTACATTTATTAAATCGAAATACTTAACTTATTAATTCTTTCATTTTTTTCTTTTATTCCATTTCCATCAATTCTAAAACTAAGCTTCAACTTAATATTTTTTATTTTTATAGAATTCTACCTAATTATATTTTTAACACATTTAAACACTTTCCCAACATACAATACTAGTATTATTTGTTGTTTTAGTTACCACAATTTACATTTACTTTATTCCTTTTCAACTAAGTGTATAGAACAGTTAAATACAATGTGAGAAATATAGCAAATAACCAGGTAGTTGTAGAAATTCTAAGCAATGAATGGTTTAGAGATACTTTTATATAATATACATATTACATATTATATAGATTATAATACATATACATATTTTCCTATTCACATAATTGACCTTTAATTTAAATATAAACTTAATTTTACCTTTCAATTAATAATAAATATACAAAACGCTAATAATTGTATTATGTTTAAAATTAAATACTATACTTTTGTCTGCTTATCTATAATTTTTTCTTTCTATTATAAATTTATTAATTAAAGCTTAAATATAATCTAAGGTTTTCATAATTTAAACTATTAATGATGAAATACTTAACCATCAAATATTTCATTTTTTTTTTTATTAGAAAATAAAATAAAATTAGAATTGAATACAATATTTTATTAAATTTATATTCTTTTTAAACATTATGATTTAGTCAACAGTTACAATTTCTATTTTAATTTAAAATGAATAAAAGAATTAACCGGCTAGAATTTCAGGTTTTTATTTTAATTAAAAGGACTGCGATTTTTTTATCAGTTTTATTAGTTAAAAATAAATTAGGAAAATAATACACAAAAAAAACCTGTAAAAAAAGAGCCATTTATTCATATCTTTATCCAATTTGGTAATTTAGCCTTATACACGACATTTAAATATTTCATTACATTCAATGTATATTTTTTCCTTTGTTTTCAGTTTCAAACTAATTTTCTGATAT